GGGAATGGCCATATAGCCGCCGGTGCCTAAGCCCACACATAGAAATCATCATATCAGTAGTGCTAGGCTCTGCATTAAAGCAGTTTTGCGAAGGGAATATTTAATCATCACTCCCCAATATCTCATGTAAGCATATCTGCAGGGAGCGATGAGGCCGGAGTCTAGACTCCAAACTCTTAACTATGTTGTGCTGTTGAATAATTTTAGAAAGTATATTTTGAAAGTTAAAATGTCAACTTGTAATATGATTTATGGCGAACTTGGAAGATACCCATTATATATTGATATCAAAAAAAAGAATTATTGGTTAATGGGGGAGTTTAGTGATGGGGAAGGAAACAAAGATTAGTAGGGTGATGTATAACTGTCTATTTAACTTATATATTAATGGACTATATGTATCACCATGGATTTCTTTTGTTAAGCAAATATTAGATGAACGCATTTTTTCTTATGTTTGGTCAGACTAGAGATGTGATAACATTAAATGGCTGAAGATGGCAGTTGAGCAGAGGTTAAAGGATCAGTTTGTACAGAAGTGGCGTTATGAACAGAGCATGTCCTCATGTGATTTATATTGTGAATTTAAAGAGGATTTTAAGTTTGGAAAATATTTACTCTGCGAAAACAAGAAGTATAGTCAGGCCATCTATAACTTTCGAATTTCTAACGATAGACTTCCTAAAATAACAGGTAGATACAAGGACCTGGAAAGGATTGAAAGGTTTTGTAATTTGTGTAATGATGGCCACCTGGGAGATGAATAGCATGTTTTGTTTGAATGTAAAAATATAACTATATCTGAGAACAGAAACAAGTACTACCTAAATGTGAACGGGCAACCTTCAAGTGCAAAGTTAAGCCTGATTTATAGTCCTGCGGCGTACCTACGACGTACCTACGTCGTTGCCGTGACGCCGTCGTGAACCCTTCGAAATTCTCCATCACTCCATTTCGTCGCGGTGCAATTCACCGCCAGAGCGGTAGGAGGCTGCATTCCTTTCCTGAATGGTTATCGTCGTCTCTAGTTGATTCTTTGTTTAGCTTCCGGCTTTTCTGGTCACAGAGAGATGAACGCGGAGCACGGACAGACGGCTCCGTCCGTATCCGTATTGAACGTTGAGCATAAATGGGCCTTAATACTGCAACATCTACATCGCAACAGAAGATGTTTAAAGATGGCGGGGATGGCGCAATCTGGAAATACGGAACCGGAAATGCGTTGCTACCAAGCAAACCAATCACAGCCCTCTCGGTCTGCGCTGGGTCTGCATCGCCTCAACGTGTAGTTACATTTTTGGGGAGGTGCACGTCAGGCTACGCCGGGGGCTACGGCGAGCCTTCTGCGTAGCCACGTACCCTACGATGTTGCAACGTCGTTGATTTAATGCTGGTTTCATCTTCATGAAAACATGAAGATGAAACCACAATATTCTTTGACCTCATTTTATTTAAATGAAAAATATTAAAATCAGTCACTGTCTGCTTTGAGCTGTGGAGAGAAAGAGAGAAATAATATTGATTAATACATTGCTTCACAGTCTTGCTTACAATGTGCATTAAAGTCACTTACTTCTTTCTCTAGTTTTTTAATTTCCAAGTCCAGTTTCCTTAAGGTCTTTCTTTTGTCTGTCAAGCTCCACATCCTGCAGCTTTCTCTTTTCACACTGGAGCTTGACATCTGCCACTGCTATCTGCTCCCTCAGATGACTTGCTTTTATCTTAAGCGATTTATACTTTTTATAAAAACAAAACATGAATACAATCCTGACATAAGCAGCTATTTAATGAAACTGCAAAAGGCAGCTATTTTCAACAACCCTGCTATGAGCAGCTATTTGATAAGAACTGCAAAAAGGCAACTATTTTAAGGCAGCTTTTTTTTTAACAAAAAAAAAAAAAAAACTCACTAAAAGGCTGTCTGATTGGAGCTGGGGAGAGAAAGAGAGAAATGACACTGATTAATACATTGCGTCATGCTTACAATGTGCATTAAAATCACTTCTTGCTCTAGTTTCTTAATTTCTAAGTCCAATTTCCTTGAGGTTTTTCTTTTAATTTGTCAATTTGTTTTACACTGCAAGACAATCCAAAGTCAGACCGTCCACATAACACCACTGGTTGATTAATGAATGAATAAAATGATTGATTCCATGTATAGTATACTGGAATAATGTACCTTGTATGAAGAGGGCGGTTTCTGTGGGTGGGACAGAGTCTGTAGCCCTGTGATCGATCTCGGGGTCTATTTAAGAAAGCCATGGAGTGCACTCACCTGAATAAGTTACACCTGGCTTGACAAAGCCGCGCCTCCTCAGCCTGACCAGCCATGCTAACTATTATTTTTATGTCACTAGTCACTTGAAACAAATTTAGGATGATAGGAGACAGGTTGAAATAAACCGAAATTTCCCTTTAACCAGTGATCCTGTCCATTGTGGATGAGGAATGCTGGAAAGAATTGTGGTTCCTGAAACAGTCCGTACTGTGCAATGTTGCATGTCAGAGGAATCTGGCTGTGCAGTGTGTCCTTACAGAGTTAGCAGCTAGGCTGCAACTCCTGCTGGGAGCCAAGGTGAGAAAAGCAGGGGAGGGCTCCAGCTGCACAACCCTACCTTGGTCGAGGTCCCAAGAGAAGGAGATGGAAGAATGGAGTCTTTTCCCCTTATACTGACTTGGTGATGTCGTGGGTCACATGCAACAGTGACCAATAGTGAATAAAGACTGGGAACCTTAGTGTGACTTCACACTGAGGTCTGAAACTTGAAGTACCCTGGAAGACTGAGTTCAACTTTCTTTTCTTTGTCTTATAGGACAATGAACATGAGGTCTCAGCCACCATTTGAGTGAGCTGAGTTTACAGGAAATGTCTGTTACATTTCCACTTTAAGGCTGCATAAATGAACAAATAATCTATGGAGTTCAGTAATCCCAACAGTGGTTATTATTAGCCGGGGCTTGGCCATTTTTCAAGTTAACCCAAATGCAGTGGTATCATGTAAAACAACCTAAGGCATGATCCCAGGCTTCAAAATAATTGAATACCATATTGCTTCAATACCCCTCTATTAAAATGTATCTTATGGTTGTCAAATTAACTAGAAAGCTGATGCTCACTCAAGATTTTGCAGTGTACAGACCAGAGACTACACACTTCCTTTCCCTCCAAAATGGTGGCAATGTTGTAACATCACGTTGACTCCAATATCATTTAGAGAGATTAGCCAAAACAACCAGCGCATGGAAGAGGAAGTATTTGCCTGGATGTTGGCTTGCTACACTGGATTGACCATTGCTCCCAGAGGCTTAATGTCGTCAGATGGCTTATTGTTATCAGACCAATAGCCAAAGGGTTCCAAGATTGCATGTCGGCCGCCCTAAACTGTTGGAAAAACAAGATAATAAAGAAGTGTTTTTATGACTCTTCTTTGCAACAATTACAGTCATAACTTTTTTTCCTGCACTTCTCAAGACACATAAAGGTTTTATTAATCTTTATGATGAGATGGCCTGAACCTACTCCCATATCAAAGAGGGTATGAAGGTCACTGTGGCTCCTTTTGGTTATCTTAGGATGGTTGAACTATGATTCAGCAGGTACACATGCATTTTAATTGTTTTACCACAACGGTTATCCTTATTAGCCAGTCTGTTTATTGTGATCCTGACTACACTTACAAAGCTCACTTTGGATGTAGCACTCTGCATCACTGCTTAAACAGAAATCATTTATTCAAAGCAATAGTATATATTTCTGTATCTTTATTTTACAGGAAAATGAATGTTATGTTGGAAGAAAACAGAATTGTCCCATAAAAACAATGATAAAACAATGGAAATTAATAAATTGAAAAAAAGATATGGAGATCAAAATACATACTGTGACGAGATGTGATTAAAGAACATAAAGAAAAGTCCAGTGAAATGATTCTTACAAAAACAGAGTAAACAGAGTTTCCAATATTTTAGCAAAACAGAAACATAGTTCTGTGACCATTTGAAAACATTTTTGTAACATTGAATCATCAAAATTATAAGACAGTTAAATTATACAGTAGCCTAAGTATAAATTTGAATGCTGCCTTGAGTTTCCTGAAACATAAACTGGCTCGGCCCCATTTCCTATAATGTAATAAGCAAGTCTCATGACGCGACGGAGGCTGTCACTGAGCGACAGGTTGACACTGACAGGGAACAATCCTCCACTGGGACTTACCGATGTCTTGTCTGATGGTCCGCTGTCAGTAAGTATTCCCACATTTTGTCTGATCTTCGCATAAATGTTCTTTTATCATGTTAAAGTGATTCTGAGTAGTTTGTAATCGGTGTGAGGTGTCAACACAGCCAATACACGGACAACAGTCAGTGTCACTGTGGGCAGTGCGAAACAACAATGCAGGTGTTTTGCCTAAGCGTTTGTTTCATAGGCTAATCATTTTCGGAACCGTTTCAGAAATGTATCATGGGTGCACCACACCACCCAAAACACCTTAAATGCAAGCCTTGACATTTGTTTAGCTCAATGACTTCTTTTTGGACTGTTTCAGAGAAGTTGTTAATCACAATTATTTTTACAAGATTATCTCAATCATGAGACTTAAAATGAGCAGGACCATGCAAATCATTAGAACTAAATCAACACTTCTGGAGAAATAAACCAATTTATAAGACTAAATATTTGCAAACATGCAACCATTATGTTGTTTACAGACATTATATTTGATGACGAAATGATTCCTGTGGTGTCATGTACATTTATTACAGCTGAAGAGTGAGCATAAACAAGTGGAGTAATAGCGCCACCTCCTGGACCAGACTGTATGCCACAAGGCCTTAAGTGTTGCTGTGCATTGTAATATCTACATTTAACTATTTGCAAGACTGAAATGGAACTGAATTTTTCCAGATAAATGAAATAGTAAAATGCAATAACACTTTCAGGGGCAGATTCAAAAGGAAAGATGGCCAGCTCCAGAAAACGATCCCAGGATGAGGTGAAAGAAGCAGAGAGGAAGAAACAAAAAAAAGATGCAGGTGAAGTACAAAAGATTATTACAGGCAACTTTGTGGATGATAGGTGATGATGCAGGTGTCACTGTGCAGATAAAATATATACCTGTATTTGGTTTCATCAAAATACTTAATATTACATAAGTATTGCTAAATATGGTAAAATAAGTGTAATTTTATGGGGAAATCATATACAATGAGCACTTTTATCAATTGTACATTACTGTTTGATAATTTCAGGGTTTTTGTTCCCCAAATGTAATGTGTCTGAAAAACACATTAACAAGAATCCAAAATATTGTTAGCAAAGATAAACTGGCCTGTTCATGAATCCCATTTGTACACAACATAAATGATACAACCAACTGTTTCCCATGAATCCTTGTACAATCATGTGAGCTGGCTAATGCTTACTCACTGAACCACACCTGTTGTTGTTGTTTTTTTTCTTTTCTCTGCTTTTCACTATGTGGCACCTGGCTGTCCATAACAATGAGATGAACTGGTTTCCTAACAGTCATGTACAGTTGAAACATATTAACCAACAAGCTGTGTTATTATTCCAAGTGTACGGACATCCCTGTGAGGCACAATGGATTGTTTTGTAACTTTTACACAAGTTGCTGAGGAACCTTTAGGGTGTCGAATGTGCTCGATCCGGCTCTGTGTGCTCTCCTACCACTCTGATTTGTTTGCACGTCTATAAGTTAATGAAGATGGTGTAATGACACTGTGATTTTCTTTCCATTAAAGTAAGACAGCCACAGGGAGGTCATTATGGTCTGTACAACCAGGGCGCCACATGTTACCTCAACAGTGTCCTGCAAGTTCTCTTCATGACACCAGAGATCCATGACAGGTTTGAAACTTTCATCTGTAGAAAATAGAAGCAGGAAGACAATTATGTCGAGTATTAACCAGACACAGTGATGCAGCTGAGTGTATTAGGAGATGGTGCTGTTTGGTGAGGAAGTAAGCTGTCCAAAGGAAAATCAGACGTTCTGGTCTGTGAGTAACACTTTTAACATTATAATATTTAAACAGACAGTCATCAGTAAACTCCCCTCTTCCTTAAGGTTGAATCCAAAATCACAGGTCACAGATGAAGAGCTGAGAAACCTCTTTAAAAGACTGAAAGAAACTACATCTGGAACAGAAAATATCACAAAGAGTTTGAAGATTAAAAACGGTGAGTGGCCAGTGATCAGTTAAAAAAAAAAAAACGTGTTAAATAACAACAGGAGGGAAAGTCAAATAGCAGCTGTAGGTTCACTGAGATGTTTTGCTGGATTAAAATTTCCACATCATTTTCAGTTTGTCAGCAACGTGATGCAGCTGAATGCCTGGAGATGATTTTACAGAAAGTCAGCCCACAGGCCTCTGAGGTGAGAGAACTGTTCTCCAACACTATTTCCTCTTACATACGTTTTACATTATAACAATATGTTAAGTTATCACAAAATAACAAGAATGACACATTATAATAATGTGATATGGGATCACGTTATAACATGAAACATTTCACGTTGCAAAGTAAATAAGCATAATGTTAAAACAAGAAAAGTTTCTTCTGAAAACATGAAAATATCTTGTAAAACTGTATCTTGTTATAACAAAAGGTTTCTTGTTATAACATAAAAAATACCTTGTAAAAACATGAAAAACATGTTATAATATGAAACTTTTCATGTTATGATCTGATACTGATGTTTTCTTTTCCTAGCGTGGCACCAATGTGCCTCCATAAGAATCTAATCAGAAACTAATCAGAAAGCTGTGTTATAAGTGATATTTCTCTCTCAAGGTTTTCAAAGGACAGCTGAGATACACAACAAAATGTACCGAAGGCCACAGCATCATTGAAGAGACTAATCCATTCTGGACTCTTCCTCTGTCACTAAAAGATACCCATGATGATAGAACCTACAGTGTGGTAAGCAGCCAGAGATCAAAATTCTACTTTAGTATTTTAACATAGCATCCACTGACTTACAACTGATTCATAAAGCATCAGTTATAAGTCAATGATTCACCATTAATCAAGCCATTAGTTACATTTTAAACACAATTTATTAAATGTGCCTAGTCAAAAAGTGATACTAGGGTTAGGGTTAGTGCACGAGCAAGGAAGCTGGATTTATAAATTAATTGTCAGAGCAGTTAGTGTCCTTGCAGCCCTGACTATCACAGGGCTGACACATATGGTGGGTCTCAAACCACATACTGCCATGTAGTATACTATACGCACTATGTACTCATTGGTGTAGTGCGCACATTTTGACAGGGTAGTGATGTCTCACACCAACCACGGTCGTTGTGCACTTACCGGAAATGATGACCGCAAATTAGCTAGTTAGCAAACTAGCATTAGCATTAGCATTAGCATTAGCGTTATCGTTTGTGGTACCAAATCATTACAGACTGCTAAATTAACCCAATAAACATACTGCTGGCTTATACCCGACAACAGTATAGTGATGCTTAGTGCAAAAAACACATGTAGATTTGTACAATGCAGCGACGTTCACGGTCGCTATTTCCAGTTTGAAAAGTGGTCCCTCCCCTTCCGCTACGTAGCCAAGATGGCGACCATTGAGGGCGAAAAGTGTCCATAGTTCCTCAATTTCTTGACCATTTTGAGTGCACCATCTGGGTAGTCAGAGGTGGGAAGTAACTGTAATTGAGTAGTTTTTTTGTGTAATTTGTAATTTTTTCAGTAGTTTTTGAAATCTGTAATTTTACTTTTATTGAAGTAAATTTTGACTGAAGTAGCCTATTGTACTTTGCTACATTTGAATTGAATTTGAATTTGAAATTTTATTCCCATTCAAGTTAGCAGCATGCTAAACCGTAGGTAGCTGGCTTGGCTGGTGAAAGTCTCTATCGCGCCTGCTGTGTGATCATCTGGGTAATTTAATACGCAGCAGTTGAGCCATTTTGGCTACATGCGCCACTGAGCAACTTTTAGGAATGAATGGGGCCCAGCCTTCACGCTGTATCCAGGTCTCTTCATACATCCATGAGTTGTCCCTTTTGTTGTGATCCAGCCCAAAAATGAACATAAATACATGTTAAAATGGTAGAACATTACACTAAGACAGTCACACAGCAGAGGGGATCTGCTTTCTTTGGAACTGATCAAACTTCCTTTATCTCGATAAAACACAACCCTGCCCTCTTAAACTTCATTTAGGGGTGTAGCCTAAGTTCCACCAATATCAATAGTTTGTAAAACATCCTATCGGCGGTGAATACCAAAAGGAGAATTTTATTATTGTGGTGGCACCTGTTCTGACATTTAATCACATAATACACACTTAAATTTCAATCAGTCTCCCGTTTCCACTTTCTCCTCATAGTGGTGGTGACACCTGTCTGACATTGTAACACGTAATATTCAATAACATTTAAATGAATGTAAGGCTTGTGTCATCCAGACACGGTTGTTCTGTAAACAAACTGGTGAGGTGATCCTCTCTTTCCTGTCCAAAAATGGCATTTCAACTGCAGCTGGCTAGTTAGCTATCTAGGTTGCTAATTCCGCCATGCTACCAGGCCACACTTGTTACACAAAATGAGGAATACTGTAGACCTAATACAAGACTGTCAGCCTGTCAGTACTTATTCACTTTGAAAGAGCAACAGTCAGTGGGGAAACACAAACACTAGTTATCAGTCACTGCGACCAATGGTGTAACTTCATCACCCACTCATTCAGTCAGTCAGTCACGCAGACAGATTGTTGTGATTAAAGGGGCTGGCCTCGTGTCTGCCGTCCAGCCAAAATAGGTGGTAAATGTTTACTTGGTCACAGATCAACTGCCAAAATAAATACTATGTAGCATTTTTGTAGGATGTGGACTTTGTTATAACGTGTTTTTACAGGGAGAAGGCTTTGAAAGAATTTTCCAGCAGAAATCATTCAGTGGAGACAACATGGTGTACTGCAACGAATGTGAAGAGAAAACAGAAGCGACCACTGTGAGTTTTCAAACATTAACTGCAGCCTGAGCAAAATTTATACTGGAATCACATAATCACCTTGTATGTTTGTTTACTTTAAACTTTCTTGTGTTATTTAGGGATGTGAGATGGTGATATATCCTCAGATTCTGATTCTTCTCCTCAAGAGATTTGACTTTGACTACAGGACCATGTCATATTTCAAATCACACCGCTGTGTCGACGTGCCACGAACGTTACAGAGAAAGGCAAGGGGAGGTAACTTTAAATTTCTTTTGTTTGCTTTTAAAATCTTCATATACATAACAGTGTTCTTCACTGCAGGACAAGGAGTACAAACTGTATGGGATGGTGCATCACAACAGCAGTCTGAGAGGAGGACATTACACAGCCACCATCCTGTGCAGTGAGGACAAAACCTGGTATGAGTTTAATGACGCTCACGTCAGCAAGGTGAGGGGGACTTTACTTCCTCTACTCCATTAGGGCTGTACACACTCAAAACAAACCAACAGAAAGATTTGAAATGAAATGCTAATTTGTTGACAGTGTTCATTCTTTCAATGATGCAGGTTAAACTACAGCCATTTGCATAAACCTCATCTTACAAGTATGTTAAATATTATCAATAGTGAATGAGATTTATTACATTTTCCAGAAGTGTTGACTTGGTTTTGTCATATTTTTGTTGTTCTATGCAAACAGTAACTTTAGATTATTGTTCACCAGGTCCCAGACTGCATATCTGCTCATGTACAGAGGTAACATTAAATCAATACACAGAGAAATCATGTCAAGAAGTGGAGGAGAAAGGGACACTGGAAATGAAAAGAAGAGAAAAACAGGACAGAATGAAGAAGATGATGTGCAGATGAAAAGACATGAGGCATCAGGCCATCAGGCTGGAGGAGAGAAGGGTAATGCAGAAAGAGTTTTCTCAGAGAATACAGATATATGTTTTGAATGTGCAGAAAGTTTCTAACATGAGCAGGAATCATGCTGAAAGATGTAGACCTATGAGCTATCAACATTTCCACATGCACATTTAAAGAGTCTTGTGACGGCATGTGACGTAAACAGTGACGTGGGAGGGAAGCCGCGGCTGGTCAGTCCTTCGGCGATTCTCTCATAAGTCGGCCTGTTCTTCACCGTTCCCGTCATCTGACAGTTAATGGCCTCTTCGTTTGTGAGTGCAAGGAGGGCGCGCAATTCCTTGTCTCCCCAGTTGCTCATCTTTACAGTGTCTGTCAGGTTTGCGTTTCCCTCTTGCTACTAGCTGCTCACTAATTCCTGCTATCAGCTGTTTCCTGTTTATCCACAGCTAGAAGGGTCCAGGGCTGCATCCCAAGTCTCTTAAAATTACTGCTAACCACCTTATCTAGCCACCTTACCTAACTGTTTAGTCCCTTCCACTTACGAAAACATGCAAGGAGTCAGGAGTTAGGAGTGAGGAGCGAGGATTGCTGATAAGAGACATGAGATGACCTTACTAAAGCTACGTCCGTTTCTGATGACAGCGGCACAGCTGGATCTGCTGCATAAGGAGCCAGCATTTGGCGTACATCCCAAGTCCCATTATATTCGCTGATCGAAGCCGTAAAACGGTAGAAACCTCAGGAAGAGCAACTGAGGAGGGATCCCTCTTCCAGGACGGACAGACGTGCAATAGATGTCGTACAGAACAGATCAACATAATAAATTAACTGTAATCCGTGTGACACAATGAGACAGAGAGAGAGAGACAGAGATGCAGGACAGACGGCAATTACAGTAGTTTACAACAACATTAATGAAAGTAATAATATTAATTAATATTAATATTAATAATTAATATTACAGGCTATTAAACATTATTCCACTCACATGACATGCAGGACAATTAATGATGGGCAAATATGTTTGTGTGTGTGTGTGTGTGTGTGCGCGCGCGCCTGGTGTTATATCAACACGTGTGGTTCTGGACATGAGCAGCTGCACATTTAACAGCCACACATCACCGACAGTCCGCTGAACAACGCAACGGGTTGTGAATGAAATAAACTTAATTACAACATGACAGTCTTGCAGGAAATATCATTAACGTTACTCTTTGTAGTCACGTAGGCATGTGAATTACAGCGTTTCATTGCAAAGAATGCTTGTAACGGGTACACTTGCGCTGTTTCTCCGCCATCTCGTTCAAATGGGCCAGATGTAGGGGGCGGGTATTTATACGTCATGGCCTCAAACTGAAAAAGCTCTCGTGTTACCTTACTCATCGCACCTAACAGATCCCTCCTAACTCCTAATGCTAACTCCTTACTGGCAGGAATAAGAGACAAGAACCGTTTCTCAATACTCAAGTTTGGCAGTTCGGACTTGGCAAGTCCACGTGAGAGTCCGGACTTCACAAGAACGGGAGGACGGGAGTACAGTCATTTCTGCTTATGGAACAGCAGTTAACTTGATGATGTCACCACCTCCGCTCGCCTTGGCTTGTTGTACTGTGTTGTATACCTGCATTTAGAATAAAACAATGTAAACACAGCCCAGCCCTGCGTCTTTTCATAGACATTGTAAGAAATTAATATGTAGGGCCTGTATGTTTTTAACGTTTCAACATATATAAACAACATATAAAAACATACAAAAACATATAAATAGCCAAAATATTTTCATAAAATGTATTTTAAAACCTTTTCTCCACAGCTGGCTTCTGATTATAATCAAAAGTCAAGTGCAGGGGGGTTATTGTGATCGTGAGCATTGGCGAGATGGAAATCAAAAATCAATAACGGATCGGAGAAGGCGTCTTGGCGCAGTTATTGCAGCAGGATTGCTGTAGCCTTACCTGCAGGCTGAGGAGGAGGCTGCCCAGCTGAGGAGGCAGATCCCAGAAAGACAGCGGGGGATGAAGATGAGGATGAGACGTGCGATGCTTGCATGTCTGTTCGATATGTTTGTCCAGTTGTGGACAAAGTACCCAGGAATATCACAACAAAGAACAAAAACTCAGTCACAAGTAAAAGTGCTGCAAATCTGACTTGAGTAAAAGTATCGTCAGCAAAATGTAGGCCTGCTTAAAGTTAAAAGTTAAAAGTTCAAAGTACTCGTGATGCAGAGTCACCTAACTTCAAGTGTTGTAATCATCATATACATGAATATGTATTGAGTATTAATGGATCAATTTACACGTAGGCTACATGTAAGCAGCATTTAAATGTTGTCATGGTAGAACTAATTTTAACACCTTTCACTGGTGTACTAGTCTAATCTATAACAACACACAGCAACTTGTAAATATGAAACAACAACATATAAAACAAACTATCTGAAAAGTAACTATAGCTATCAAATAAATGTAGCTTGAGTAGAATGTACAGTATTTCCCTCTAAGTAAATGGAAATACCCAAAGTACATCAAATTTGTACAGTAGCTACTTGTAAATATACTTAGTTACTGTCCATCACTGCATTTGTCTCATCATTATGCTTTCTGTCTACATTTTTATGGAGACTTGACAGTTTACTTGGTACACCTTGAAAAAAACAACAGCAGTTTAATATTCAGTCTAACATTTTATTGAAGTGTTGAGTTGTAGATTGTGGTGCTGTTGAACTGTACTGGATTACACTGACAGCAGTTTCTCATTTAGTCTGTCCTCACCAATATAAATGGGATCAAACAGGTCAGATTTTAAGAGGAAAATTTTATTCAGCCACACTTCAGACATCAGGTATACAATTCATATCAGATAATCAATATTTAAAATGCTGTTGAATAAATACTACAATAAAGACAATCTTTAAATACAATAAATAAATTACAATAAATTCTTAAAATCATTATTGAATGGTAAAAACACATACAGGCCTAAATAAGCAAAAGAATGCAAAGAACAATAACATGTTACAACATTTAATAATATAAGAATATATCTTATACTGAGACTGAATGTTGCCCATTAGACATACCCCAAACAAATTACATTTCATATTTAACCACTGCAGAGATATCAGCCACGAATTTCAAAAGGACTACCTGAGAGAGGCTGCTCTCGGTGGGGCAGCCTGAGCGCTCATACACACGTTTATTATCTATGAGCGCTGACACCGCTGTCATCTAGCGGACCTCAGCCACATTCAACTGGGCTCTATATTAAAACATCGACCACGGGTCTGACGTTTAAACTACGCATGAAAACACTACGTTCTGTGACAACACAACAGTAACATATTGGTAATTATGGCTTACAATTGTGCGCCTTTCCCTCACTTGTCATTTTCCGATGACTGTTGCGAAATGCATGCTGGGATACCTGGCTGTCTGAAGTCCACACAAGTCTGCTCTGATGCATCCCCGGTGAAATGGGTGTGGCGAGAACACATTGGAACAATACTCGGGCTGTGACTGATGACGTGTCACAAGTCCACAAGAACACAAGTCCGCACAAGAACGCATATTGAGAAACGGCTATGAGATGGCCTTAAAGATGGTGTTAGCAGTATAAAATAAGAGACTTGGGATGCAGCCCAGGTGAGAACTGGTGTTAAGTCATCTGGGGAGGGATCCCAAGACTGCATTGTAAGTGGGTGATAAGTGGTGTCATAGCCCACCCCCTCTGTTTAAAGGCCCTGACACACCAAGCCGACGGCCGGCTGTCGACCAAAGTCGGTCCGTCGGTGAGCGTCTGTCGGCCTAGTTTTTGCGGTGTGTCCCACACCGTCGGCCCTTTGGCGTCGGTGGCTTTTCGGCCGAATGAGCATGTTGAATCGGCGGCTTGTCGGTGAGAGAGATCACTCTGATTGGCTGTTTAGGTTTTATTCCCTCTCCACTGTAGCGAGTGAATCTGTCTGTAGTGAAACCAGGGCTAACCTGTGCCTCCTCCTCAGGCTCCACTTCACTCAGCTGCCCGACAGACCCGCTGCTTCTTCCCACTTTAACCTGAATAGCCGCAGCATGACCAAAGGGGAGCACAGCCAGTTAGCCTCCGCTAGCCTCCCAGCTAGCCCCAGCTCTCCGTTTGGATCCAACCGGAGCACTGAGCCCTGGTTTGTTATTCAGGTAGGAAGAAGCAGCGGGTTTATCGGGCAGCTGAGTTAAATGGAGCCTGTGGAGAAAACACCGGGACCGTCTGAATGTAATAGTCCGTGGAGGTGCTGCGGTGCTGGGCTGTACAGATAGGTAACTCCTCGGCTGTCAGGATTTACCACTCTCTCACTCCACTCTCTCTCATGCAGGCGCAGAACGTACGTGCTACTTGGCCGTCGGATGTAGTCTGTAGTGTGTTCAAATGCAACTGACACAGGGCGACGTGGGGCGACAGAACAGTTGGCTTCGTCGCCGCTAGTTCTCTGACGTCGGTTTGGTGTGTCAGTGCCACAGTGGTCATTTCAGTTTGACATAGGCTACATGGCTTCTTTCAAGCCTCTTTCAAACCATCTTTCCTCCCTGGCCAAGATGTGCACATTGCTGTCCTCGAAGGATTGTCCCTTCTCCTGTAGATGTAAGTGGACAGCTGAGTCTTGACCTCAGGGGCTGGCTCTCCTGTGCAGTGCCATGTGCTTGTGGAGTGGTTGTTGTTGAGGTCCGCAGCCTCACCAGCGTTGAACTCGGGGAATAATCTGACGGAGGCAATAATAATCTTTAGCCTGTGCGGCACATTTATTGGAGACCTCACATTTTCTTCAGTCACGGAGGGAATGAACTCCAACCTCTGACAGAACATGACTGGGCATGGCCTAAACAAAAAAAAATGTGATGACGGAGCATACTTGTAGACTTGCGCCTCACTGTGGTGAACACAAAATATTGCCCTTAAGTAAACAGCAGTCACACAATAGTCACATAGCAAATTGAGTACACAACATAAAAGAATGCCTCTTAACAGTTGTTTTGTTTCCTCAATTATACAAATCTGTGCATTTCTGGCTGCACTGAACAGCATACGCTACATTACTCTGCTTATGTCTGGGTGTTTTGTCCTTTGGGTGGACGAGCTTCTGTCTCAGTGTGTTACTGGGTTTAAAGCATAGACTGATGTGGGGTTTGTTGAAAATCCTCCTGAGTTTCTCAGACACTCCTGCGACATAAGGAATGATGATGTTGTTTTGTTTTTGTGTCTCTTCCTCTCTGTCTGCTCTGGGTCTCTTAGAGGTTTTTGCAAAGGCCCAGTTGGGGTAGCCACAGGTTTGAAGTGAATATTTTTGAAATTTATTAAAATATTTTTAGTTCAAATTAATTTTGCTCAATAAAAGTCCATGTCATTTGACCCAATGTTAGACATCCACTACAAAAGAATTCTGCATTTATAACAAGTTTAATCATTTAATTCAGTCAAATATTGTATGCTTCCAGATCTTTGACAGCAAATTATCTTTGTTTAGAATCAGATGCTGCACCAAAGAGGGGACAATGTTGCTCTAAATTAAGATCATTTTTTAAGTGTTTATGTAAGTATCACTCACTTCTTTGAAATGTATTATGTAAGGTAAAAGAAATTAATCTGTCAAATATCAACAGCATTGTTTTTTTTTCTCCTGAATGAATTATTGAATAAAATACTTTTCCTTCAAACCCACAGGCTGTATAAACTCAAGTGGGACAGATGATGCAGCTGAAAAGAAAAAAAAATGTGTAAAAAAAAAAAGAGGGGGAGGGACAGATGAGAAAAGACTCATAGAAAATTCATTCCCAGGGTGAAGGAGAAGAGAGGAAGGCACAATGTGAAAAGAAGTTAAACACTGAGGTTTGATGTGAGACAGAGCTTATTGATGGTTTGATCAACACAGAAGTGAAAATGGGCAGCACGGGGGTGCAGTGGTTAGCTTAAAAAAAAAATCATATATATCCAATCTTGTGTATATACATGTCGTAGCCAGCAGAGAGGTTGTGGTGACTTTTGATGTGTTGTGATAGTGATCAGAGAACGTTTTATTTTGTTTGATCCTGATGATGTTTTTTCCTTTTAAAGACACATCAGCTCTGATTTGATGAATTTAAAACATGCACCAACTTTGTAAAATTTTAAACATGAATCATACTTTGATAACAAAGCTGTATGTTGAACATCTTCTTCTGTCAACCACATTTAACCAGCGAAATGTTGCAGCACTGATCTAAAAGGAAAAACTAGGTTTCTAGATGCTTTGTAAATGTGAATAAAGACAATACAAATTTTTACAATGCATGAAGATTTCTGTGATTTTATTGAGTGATCAGAATGTTTCTCAATCGAAATCAAAATTAACTTTTTCAAGCAGTTTCATTTTGTAGATACAGAATTTATCATAAGTAACATTATCAGTAGTTTAATGCATGGTGATAAAACATCAGGTGCAGTTCACAGTCCAGCCAGAGGGAGGCAGTGTAGGCCAGATGTAAAAAGAAAAAAAAAGTTACACTTGTTTTGGATTAGAGTATGTTTATCTGTCACATTCGTATCAGTGAGCGTTAAGAGTTCATTTTTACATATATGTAGACAGGCCCATTTTTCACTTTCTCTGCCACACAGGGATAGATGTCTGTCTGGGAGCCACTCCACTGGGACAGATCTTATATGGCGAGCTGGTCACTGAACATTCACGTTTTAGTTTCAGGCAGACGAAACAGAACTCCACATGGCAGCGAGGGCAGGTGATGTTTTTGCAGTATTGTTGACTGTGTTCCACCCTCACGCCGCATGTAGGACAGGCCCGGACCGAGGGGCAGGCGGTGACCCCCGTCACTGAGGGCAGACTGATGGTCTTGCATGTCTGCAGAAGCTGCAGGTCCCTGTTGAAGCAGCCGTCATTGTCGCAGCGGTCAGATCGAGGGCCTGGACCTTTCCACTCCCTCTGACACTGCCAGCAGAAGTGGTAGGTCTTCTTCTGGTCGGCTGTGCATATGATGCAGCGGACACACAGGTTGGAGAGATCCTTCCTCTCCACATTCGTTTTGCACTTTGGGCACTGATGTGGAAAACATTGACAAGGAGAACACATCATCAAACACAGCATTTGTTTTTAGTTCTAAATAACACAGTCAATAATATTCAACTTTCAAACCCCACTGGACCACTTACTGGCTGCATTTCGCAGTACTCCGCAGCAGCCAGGAGAGCCATGGTCTCCTCAAAGTGCTTCATTTCCTCAACAGACAAATCAGCCAGTCTGCGCACCTCCTGGTACGACCATGGCTTATTGCACAGTTTGGTCCCCTCCACCACGGCAGGACATCTGAAATTGTATTTACCCTTAAAACAACAAAGAGAAGGAGCAGTTTAGGATCATAACAAACTCACTGCTGGCTTCTGACACTTGGAGAGACAAAAAAGGAAGGAAGCTCGTGTCTGTATTTGATCTTTGTAGAATCATTAAAATGTAGATTAAAAGAAAGTTTCCAGTTCATACACATGATCATTTTTCCAAAAAGCAATGCCAGTGTTAACAGACGTCGTATTCCTCCAGATTTTACACCATCCACTTTAACTCCCCACAAACACTCTCTTGGGCATAGTGGTGCAGCCACATTTAGCTTTGAAGGTAACGTATTTTGAACTCCTTCCCACTTGTCCTTATTTCTGGGCAGTGTCGTAATCAGGTGGGAACCTCCTTTCACCAGTGTTTCATCTAGTTGGTCCCACAACACCTCCAGGAGGCTACACAGTGATCTCTGGCATCCCAGAGGCACTACCCTCATGCCAGCTCTCACTGCTCCCCGCACTGACCCAACAACCTCCTTTACCTTACCTTACACATGGCTTGAAGTGAACAACACTGACTATCTCCTCATCATGTTAGTGGGTGGGATATATTAGGCAGCAAGTGAACATTTTGTCCTCAAAGTTGATGTGTTAGAGGCAGGAAAAATGGGCAAGCGTAAGGGCCAAATTGTGACGGCTCGACGACTGGGTCAAAACATCTCCAAAACTGCAGTTCTCGTGGGGTGTTCCTGGTCTGCAGTGCTCAGTATCTATTAAAAGTGGTTCAAGGAAGGAACAGTGGTGAACCGGCGACAAGGTCATGGACGGCCAAGGCTCATTTATGCACGTGGGGAGCAGAGGCTCACCTGTGTGGTCCGATCTAACAGACGAGCTACTGCAGCTCAGATTGCTGAAGAAGTTAACGCTGACTCTGATAGAAAGGTGTCAGAATACACAGTGCATCACAGTTTGGTATGTATGGGGCTGCATAGCCGCAGACCAGTCAGGGTGCCCATGCTGACCCCTGCCCACAGCCAAAAGCGCCAACAATGGGCACGTGAGCATTAGAACTGGACCATGTAGCAATGGAAGAAGGTGGCCTGATCTGATTAATCACATTTTCTTTTCCATCACGTGGATGGTATAGATGTTACTTTGACATGTACCACCTACCTAAGCATTGTGGCAGACCATTTGCACCCTTTCATGGAAACAGTATTCCCTGATGGCAGTGGCCTGTTTCAGCAGGTTAATGCGCCCTGCCACAAAGCAAAAATGGTTCAGGAATGGTTTGAGGGACACAACGAGTTTGATGCGTTGCATTGGCCTCCAAATTCCCCAGATCTCAATCCAATCAAGCATCTGTGGGATGTGCTGGACAAACCAATCCGATCGATGGAGGCCCCACCTCGCAACTTAAAGGACTTAAAGGATCTGCTGCTAACGTCTTGGTGCCAGATACCACAGCACACCTTCAGAGGTCTAGTGGAGTCCATGCCTCAATGGGTCAAGGCTGTTTTCGCAGCAAAAGGGTGACCTACACAGTATTAGTCAGGTGGTCATAATGTTATGCCTGATCGGTGTAAGTTTATATCTAACAGATTCTAATAAGTATTTTGTATGTCCTGTTCAAGTGGCAGGTGTTTACCCAGGTCCACAGTGTGGAACCTTGAGACACGAGCTTCTGCAATATGGATTTCAATTGTAAATACTGTAGATAACCTAATTTTATAAGGAATAAAATGAGCTTTAATTTCACTGAGTGTCATTATTCTCTCCTGCTTTACGATTTGTCCCAATTTCCTGGTGTTATGACTTTCCCACTCCTTATTAGTAAGGATCTTTCCTCCAGCAGTGAGCAATGGGTTCTTCCATAATGGACATGAAGGCAAACCTAATGCAGCAATTGCACATTTCTTTTGTATTACTTTGCTACGTGAAAAATTACTAATCGGATTCTTAATATCTACACTTCTGAAATGGTTGTCAAGTGCTGGACAGCATACAGACGAACACCGTGGTATTCTCTCTGGTCAAACCACTGGAGGGAGCCAGAGAAGGAAAAGGTACATCCACTGACAGAGGCTGGAAACACGGAGGAAGCCCAACTGGACCAGATCAGCAATCAAGGTGCCTGATTCCAAAGAGAAAGAAGACTCACTCCAGAAGAGAAAGGTTGGCCGGGTCACTAAACTGGTAACTAGCTAAACTGGCTAAACTGGAACTTCAAAAGGAAACAACATAACTGGATGGTCCTTGGGTTTTTCTTTCTGTGTTTGCCAGCAGGACAAAGCCAGCAGACATGAAGAATGCTGCTGATGCCCCGAACCGGTAAGAGCCTTGGTTATCTTTGCCCCCTCACCCTTTGACCTTTTATTTAAATCAATGGACTTCAAGGTCCAGTGTGTAGGACTTAGGGGCTATATTAGCACAAATTGACTTAATAATATAATAAGTATGTTTTCTTTAGTGTACAGTATAATCACCTGAAATTAAGAGTCGCTGTGTTTTTGCTACCTTCGAATCAGCCCTTTATATCTACGCCCATACAGCTCTGAGAGGAGATCCCTATGATTACGAGCCAAAGATCCCCTTTTGGGTGCTGTTGAAGACAATTTTTGTTTAGGAGGAGGCATACCTTTTTAAAGTTTATGTTGTAGGTTGTAGCTTCTTTTCATTTGATCAACTTTTGCGGATTCATGCTCATAAGAAGCTTCATGAAATAGTTTCAGTTTTGCAAGTGTAGCACCTGAGGTATTTTCCTTATAAATACCCCATTTCATTGAACATTTGATTAGTTTTGTTTGAGTTAATGTGTTGCACTCACCAGCAGGTGGCAGTGTAAGCATAGAAAAAAACACTAGTTGCACTTTAAAAAGTTCTTTCCCAAACTGATCAAATCGCTTAGATTAAAACATTGTGTTTAAGACATGAGATACCTCATCCAGCTGGTGGAGACACCACAGTGTGAGAGACTCAGGGGTGACAGCGTGGCCGCAGGACATCTCTGCTCTTAGACTGTCATCATCATCATCGTCACATGTCGGATCCAAGTCATTCTTCCTGTCGACAAACTTCAGGGTGGTATCTAGGGGGTCGTATTTCTTCTCCACCTGGTTCTGTCCCCGAATGCTCATTTTGATTCTCCTATAAGTGGAGGAAAAAGTCTGGCTCTATTATTGCTGAAGAAAGTGATTTTACATTAACACTTTATCCCAGTTTACAGACTTAATATTTTTACTATCATAACTTGAACCATGGTTTTCCATATACCAGGTTGGAACAACAACAACAACAACAACAATAATAATAATAATAATTATAATAATTATAATGTAATAAATGGATAAAAAATATAGAAAAATAATAGAAAACATCTTAACATTATTAATAACAATATATTATAACACACAAATGATAATAATAATCATCATCATAATAATAATCAGAATATATAAACTTAACATGAATTAATAATAAAGAAAATAATAATCATAAATACAAAATA